CCCACACTGTGCTACAGTCCCACACTATGCTACACTGCCACACTGTGCTACAGTCCCACACTGTGCTACAGTCCCACACTGTGCTACAGTCCCACACTGTGCTACAGTCCCACACTGTGCTACAGTCCCACACTGTGCTACACTGCCACACTGTGCTACAGTCCCACACTGTGCTACAGTCCCACACTATGCTACACTGCCACACTGTGCTACAGTCCCACACTGTGCTACAGTCCCACACTGTGCTACAGTCCCACACTGTGCTACAGTCCCACACTGTGCTACAGTCCCACACTGTGCTACAGTCCCACACTGTGCTACAGTCCCACACTGTGCTACACTGCCACACGGTCCTCACTGCCACACTGCTACACTACGGCACACTATGTCACTATGTTACACTGCTCCGTCTCATCAACACGTACTTTAGAGCATACTATTGTTATATTTATGGCCTGTATATATATATATATATATAATATATATATATATATATATATATATATATATATATATATATATATATATATATATATATATATATATATATATTAAATATATATATGTTGTGCCGAATAGGTAAACCTGGTCAATTAGCAAGAACTTATTTGTAAAGTAAAAGGACACAAGTGCAACTAATGTGACATTTATTGTGGCAACGTTTCGCTCTCCAGGAGCTTTATCAAGCCATTACAAACAATACATGGACACAGAGGGTATATAAAGGCTCAGAGTGAGGTGAATACTAGTGAGGTACCATTCCGATGTTCACTAGTGGTAGTAGTAGTAGTAGTAGTGGTAGTGACAAAAGCAATTAATTCGTACATGAGTAAAAGGATATAAAAGCTATTACTTGGGTAACATAAAAATAGGTTGGACAAATATAAACTGGAATGAGGCAGGTTGTTTCAGTGTTCACTCTCTGTGCTTTGTGTAGTATAACAGAGAGACTATGTGATGGCAGGGTTTACTGTTTTCAGGAGGATTCTTGCTAAGACTTCGGAGATGGTGAAGCTGCCGTTGTTTTGTTTAATTGTATTCGAAACAGCGATCAGTGCTGATTCAAGGCACTTGCGTGTGCGGAAATTAGTTTCTTTTATCACTAATTGGGCGTCTCTGAATTTCATAAGATGATTGGTGGAATTTCGGTGTTGTACACAGGCGTTGTTTAAGTTGTCGTTCCTACATGCGTATATGTGTTCATTGAGGCGGGTGTCGAGGTTTCTTGCTGTTTCACCTACGTAGATCTTGTCACAGCCTCCACAGGTATAGTGTAAACTCCTGCATTGACTGGTTCGTGGTGCTTGGGTTTTGTCCTGGTTAGATCCTTTATTGAAGTGGTAGAAGCGATGGCGACTCTGGTGTTAGCTGTGAAAGTACTTTTGAGACGTTTAGTGCAACCTGGCTGTTGGGAAGAATTATAACTTTGTTGGGAGCGGTGTTGATGCGTGGAGAATTGATGATCTGAAGAGCTCTTTTCTTGCAGTCTTTGATGAAAAAAGAAGGAAATTGTAACTCAGTGAATGTTTGGTGAATGTAAGTACATTCCTCGTCAAGAAACTCAGGACTACAAATTCGGTATGCTCTTAGGAAAAACCCGATGATGATGCCTCTTTTGGTCTTGGTATCTTGACTGGAATAGAAGTGTGTGAGATCATTTTTATTGGTGGGTTTCCGATAAACTTGAAATCTTAGAAAGTTAAGACACATGTGCAACATCTGGATATCTTTATTGTAGACGTTTCGCCATCCAGTGGCTTTATCAATACAGATTCTAGGACATAATAGGAAGACAGTAGAACTATATACAAAAGATGAGGTAATCAGTCCCTCGACCTTGGAGTTAGTGTTCACAGCATCGTGGTGGAGGAGAGTCCAGACTCTCTTCCACCACGATGCTGTGAACACTAACTCCAAGGCCGAGGGACTGATTACCTCATCTTTTGTATATAGTTCTACTGTCTTCCTATTATGTCCTAGAATCTGTATTGATAAAGCCACTGGATGGCGAAACGTCTACAATAAAGATATCCAGATGTTGCACATGTGTCTTAACTTTCATATTGTCGGTATTTTATACCTTTCTTGCACAACTTGAAATCTTAGGTTGTTGTCTACTTTGTGAATGAGGACGTCGAGGAAAGGTAGCTTGTCATTGGACTCTTCTTCTAGTGTAAACTGAATCGCTGGTTCAACTGCGTTGAGCCTTGCCTGAAGATCCCGTACATCAAAACGTTTTGGAGTTATTACGAGGACATCGTCCACGTAACGTAACCAAGTGACGCTTGAAGGGATGATGTTGGCGAAGTGTTCGGACTCTAGGTGTTCCATGTATAAGTTGGCTAGGACGGCACTTATTGGGGACCCCATTCCCATTCCCATACGAACCTATCAGCACTCAACAGTGGGAGACGCTCACCAAAGACTTTCTATACAAAAGCAGACAAATACTCAAACGCACTAGAGAAGGGAAGAAACTTCTGTACTTGTTACCAAGCAACCCTAAACCAGCACACATGTATGGTTTACCCAAGACCCATAAACACAATATTCCTCTCAGACCAATCACGTCAGGAATAGGCAGTGCTCCACACAAACTAGCCGGAGTTCTTGCCAAACATCTTTCCTGCCTTCTGGGGACCATCAGCCCCGCTCATCTTAAACACTCAGGCGACCTTCTCAACCGCATCCGTAACCTCTCCATCCGTAACAAGAAACTAAGCAGTTTTGGATTGTGACTTCCCTCTTCACAAAAGTACCTACCAAAAAAGCCATCGAGGTTCTACGACGTAAAGTCAACCAGGACCTTAATCTTCCTTTACCTCCCGGAGATTTTGTTGACTTGATTGAACTCTGTGTTAACTTCAACTGTTTTTCCTTCAATAACAAGCTCTACAAACAAACCTACGGCATGGGAATGGGGTCCCCAATAAGTGCCGTCCTAGCCAACTTATACATGGAACACCTAGAGTCCGAACACTTCGCCAACATCATCCCTTCAAGCGTCACTTGGTTACGTTACGTGGACGATGTCCTCGTAATAACTCCAAAACGTTTTGATGTACGGGATCTTCAGGCAAGGCTCAACGCAGTTGAACCAGCGATTCAGTTTACACTAGAAGAAGAGTCCAATGACAAGCTACCTTTCCTCGACGTCCTCATTCACAAAGTAGACAACAACCTAAGATTTCAAGTTTATCGGAAACCCACCAATAAAAATGATCTCACACACTTCTATTCCAGTCAAGATACCAAGACCAAAAGAGGCATCATCATCGGGTTTTTCCTAAGAGCATACCGAATTTGTAGTCCTGAGTTTCTTGACGAGGAATGTACTTACATTCACCAAACATTCACTGAGTTACAATTTCCTTCTTTTTTCATCAAAGACTGCAAGAAAAGAGCTCTTCAGATCATCAATTCTCCACGCATCAACACCGCTCCCAACAAAGTTATAATTCTTCCCAACAGCCAGGTTGCACTAAACGTCTCAAAAGTACTTTCACAAGCTAACACCAGAGTCGCCATCGCTTCTACCACTTCAATAAAGGATCTAACCAGGACAAAACCCAAGCACCACGAACCAGTCAATGCAGGAGTTTACACTATACCCTGTGGAGGCTGTGACAAGATCTACGTAGGTGAAACAGCAAGAAACCTCGACACCCGCCTCAATGAACACATATACGCATGTAGGAACGACAACTTAAACAACGCCTGTGTACAACACCGAAATTCCACCAATCATCTTATGAAATTCAGAGACGCCCAATTAGTGATAAAAGAAACTAATTTCCGCACACGCAAGTGCCTTGAATCAGCACTGATCGCTGTTTCGAATACAATTAAACAAAACAACGGCAGCTTCACCATCTCCGAAGTCTTAGCAAGAATCCTCCTGAAAACAGTAAACCCTGCCATCACATAGTCTCTCCTGTTATACTACACAAAGCACAGAGAGTGAACACTGAAACAACCTGCCTCATTCCAGTTTATATTTGTCCAACCTATTTTTATGTTACCCAAGTAATAGCTTTTATATCCTTTTACTCATGTACGAATTAATTGCTTTTGTCACTACCACTACTACTACCACTAGTGAACATCGGAATGGTACCTCACTAGTATTCACCTCACTCTGAGCCGTTATACCCTCTGTGTCCATGTATTGTTTGTAATGGCTTGATAAAGCTCCTGGAGAGCGAAACGTTGCCACAATAAATGTCACATTAGTTGCACTTGTGTCCTTTTACTTTACATATTGTCGGTAATTCTACCAACTTTATTACAAGAACTTATTTAAAATTTAGTCCTTTCTAAATTTTCTCTTTTACGTTTGAAGATGTAGATGAATGGTTCAGAGAACCGACAAGTTGATAAATTAGACACATGTGCAACTCTTGCACATGTGTCTAATTTATCACGTTTAAAGATACATTTTTTTCATTTTTGTTCTTTTGTACATAAATGTTCATTTAGGTTCTTTTGTACCAAAAGAACATTTGAAAGCTTACCTAACCTCCAGGTAACCTCCAGGTAACCTCCAGGTAATCCAGGTAACCTTATTATAACAAGTGCAATGTAATTTAGCCTACTACTGTGATTCTTGAAAGATCATTACAAACACTCTTCGCATAGTTTTGAGGAACCAAAATTTTCTGTTTTGAGGGGAAGAGTTCTGAAAAATCTAGAATGATGACCAAGTATACCTTATTAGAATGTCATTAGTTCCATTATCTTTAACTGACACGAACGGTACTTCGTTATTAACGCTGTCTTCACGAATGTCTTATAAACCTAATCAATAAAAATTCAAGGAAATAATATTTAACTGTGGTTAGTGGTCTACTTCAAAATTTTCTTATTCTTATGAGGCACGGAAGACACAAATGGACCTACACGTCACTGCAGTATGGAGAACACACACTCAGATTATCATCTGTATTATCAGAGGAAGATATAAACACATGATCACTGACACATCATATGTGGCAGCTGGTCTCAAGATGTTGCCCAGTACTTCACACCCCACCGGCCTACAACAACGTCTCAGTCCTCTGATAAACTCCAAGTTTCATTGACTTTCTTGTTTTGCTATAATCACGCGTATTAATATTAACTTTGACTTCAGCGTTTTGCTTCTGGCGAGTGTGAGAGCAAGAAAATATACCGATGGCTTGAAAACTTTATTTGCATCACTTTTAAGAAACTTATAAATAAGACATTAAAATCTTCTGCCGGTTGTTAAGATACTGGAAGACACAGGTAACACTGTACAACTGAAGTAAGGTGGTCTCCAGACTGTGCCGCTTGTTATAACAAAATGACACAAACATTGGAGGTAAGTGTAACAACAGTAACGTCAACAAGTACAAGAATTAATTATTTTTTACCATTGTATATTTCTTTTATTGATTTCAATGGACTGTTGAAGAGAGAAAATATGTTTAGAAGCACTGCAGATAAAATATATTAAGAACCATTGCAGATAGTCGAATTATGTATAATTTTGTTAACGTTCAAAGTAAAACCTTTAAGCCAATGAAAACAAATTATGAGTAACTTACAAAGGTTATACAAGAGCACTCAGAGACCTTTGGATGCTCGTATAAACACCAAATAAACCTTACCAACATTTAAAAATGACTAAAAAAACATGCGAAGCACTTTATGAAAAATAAAAACATTATTTCAAGTATTTAAAACCTCAACTATTCGGAGTCATACTTGCCGCATCTCTGGGCTGGTTGTATACTGATGACCTACATATTAAAGAGTCCATGGTCGTACTTGTTACCAGGAAGGAAAATATCTCCAACTTATCAGCTCAGAAAAATTCACTTCATTTTCCAAGAGAATATATGTTACATTTCTTGCCACTAACATCAGGTATTCAACATAGTCTTCTATCCTAATGAAACAGATGCAGCATGATTTGGTAGACTGCTGATAATATATTTAAAAGCGTTATTTAGAAAAACCGCTAGAGAAACTAAATCGGAACGATGTATTTCGGTCGCTGCGCTATTAGAGAAAGGTATCCCCGTACTGCATAACCCTAGCCCTTTGTTCCTCAATGCTCGCAACAGGAATAGTTCAAAGTGCATCCTAAGTTCGTAATGCAGTTTAAAATTATCATTGTAGATTTGAAGCGAATTAGAAGAGGTATTCACAAATCATCACATACCCGGAGAGGGTTCCGGGGGTCAACTGTAATAAAGCAAATCAGCCCCTCAAGCTTTACTTATGTAAAGTGTGATAAATATTCGTTGTGAAAATTTCATGACTGTCCTCGCTGTGTATTCTTGTCTATATCCTCACCTATTTACTATGTACATAGTTCTGTAACTCGGGTGAAAGAAATAAGTGCAGTTTAATTAAAAAACTACATAGGTAATGTCATCTACCATAAATGTTGTATTGAAATATAATGCAGAACAAGTTAAATGTTTAATTGAAAAAGTACTATCAGTATTATTTATTATTATTATTATTATTATTATTATTATTATTATTATTATTATTATTATTATTATTATTATTATGGAAAATATTGTATATTTTCCGAGAAAACAGTGTATTTTGTATGTAAATTGCTGGAATATATTGTAGGTAATAAAACTTAATTTGTAAATAAATAAAGAACCAGCGAAAATGGTGAGCGTCGCTGGGGAGAGACGCCATTGTTTTGAACTGGGCAAAAGGCACGCTAGTGAAATATGCATAAATTTCGTCGCTCTGGAGGTTAAATTGTGATTGAAACTTCCCAAATAGGAGCACAAATTGTTGGAATTGCAATCCTGCATAACTTGAGAAGGCGAGTGGACAGGACAGCCAGGGAACCCCAGTTAAGTCATGTCTATTTATGTTGAAATTCTGGCCAGTATTTTCTTCATATTTTAGGCAGGGGTTTGTGTATGACACACCAAGTAATCTCCAGACAAATTGGTGAGTGGTATTATTATAAATTCTCCTTCAGTGTATATGTAGTCATTTATTAAAATTAACGTACAGTCCACATATTTATTTTAATGTTGTAACAGAATTCCTGGTGATGTATATTTCATTTAAAATTAATATAGGTCCAGAGTGACTTGTGGAGATATGACAGTGGTAGGTATCGAGGGAGGACATTTTTTGCGACCTAGGTGTCCCAAAATTACTACTTGTCTCTGTAACTTTGATAAAGAATAATTATCTTTGTTAACATTAATGGTATGTATCTAATGAGATTCATCCAGGTAATTTTAAATATTCCACAATTATTATTATTATTATTATTATTATTATTATTATTATTATTATTATTATTATTATTATTATTATTATTAGTGTAGTCATCTGTATATGAGTAAAATATCACTATTACTGTAAGAGCTGTAAATTAACTAAAGAAATATATTTGAATAGTGATCCCCCTCGCATGTTGTTTTTCTATTATTGGAAGTTCCAATATGTTTTCACGAGAATTCTTGTACAAGGAGAACTTCGTAGACTAGCCTCCACGCCCATCTCCTTTGTCGGTTTAAGCAGTTTTTTTTTTTTTTTTTTTTTTTTTTGACTGTTCATATACACGTATTCTGCTGCTAACAAGGTTTAGCAGCAACCAGGCTACCCCCCTTCCCCGAAGAGCTGCATACAAATTTATAGAAGTGCGTGGATGACTGAAGAGATACTGAGGAAAGGAGATAGTTTTCTAGAGACCTTGAAAACCCTTGCCCTGGAGGATCAGTCTTGGCTTGCATTCTGGGATTAAGAAAGATCTCAGCAGCAGCTCGAAGAAGAAATGTATCAAGGCATTTAAAACAAGGGAGGTAACCCTAGACAGTACGGTAAAGCAATGGAGTTCCTTGGGAACTAATGTGTGGAGGTATTTCTAATGTCAATAAGTCTGTTCTGCTATAATGTTAGGTATTTGATGCTAATAATTCTTTCGTTTCTTTGGTGCTAACAAATTCAGATTTCCTTGTAATGCGTTTATTAAATTGTAAGTGGTTTTATCTGAGTATGTTTTACTTCCCCCTTTGAGCCATGTGTATTAGGCCCATTTGTTTTCAGATTAAATTAAGTAACATATTGATATAATTTTTTGGGAGAGTCAAGCCCCTGATAAAGTGCCTACTGCTCAGTTGTCAGGCCAAGCTACCCTAAGAGCCAGTACTTATCAGGACCCCTATCTTATTATAACTATCCTCTATTGTTTCTCACTGGGTTTTATCCTGCTGTAACCCAAACTCCGTGTTTTCCTTCCTTCTATGACTATGGCTACTTTTATCTCTTCACTATTAAAAGAGCAGGTGGTGGCAGCATACTTCCAAGAGAATAGAGCGCTACCTTCTGTTCTCTCATATTCTAGTGATTTTCCCTTGTTATTTGTTCTTTATGAAATTCTCATACTTCTGTCCACTCCGAGCCTCTACCTGACGGAACAGACAATATGGCATCGTCTGGTGCTTCGCCCACCCTAAGGTGGGACTAGGGTGGAAGCTGCGGCTCTTCACAACGCCCCCGCGGCTCGGTCTGAGACCAGGCCTCGTGGTGGATCAGGGTCTGATCAACCAGGCTGTTACTGCTGGTCGCACGCAAGCTGACGTACGAACCACAGCCTGGTTGGTCAGGTACTGACTTTAGGTGCCTGTCCAGTGCCTTCTTAAAGACAACCAGGGGTCTATTGGTAATCCCCCTTATGTAGGCTGGGAGGTACTTGAACAGCCTAAGACCCTGGACACTTATTGTGTTGTCTCTCAATGTACTCGTTGCGCCCCTGCTTTTCATTGGGGGACTGTTGCATCTCCTGCCGAATCTTTTGCTTTCATAGAAAGTGATTTTCGTGTGCAGGTTTGGTACCAATCCCTCCAGGACCTTCCAAGTGTATATTATCACGTATCTCTCTCGCCTGCGTTCCAGGGAATACAGATCAAAGACCTTCAACCTTTCCCAGTAATTTAGGTGCCTCATCGTGCTTATGTGTGCCGTGAAAGTTCTTTGTACACTCTCCAGGTCTGCAATATCGCCATCCTTGAAGGGGGCCGTTAGTGTACAGCAGTATTCCAGCCTAGAGACCACAAACGATTTGAAGAGAATCATCATGGGCTTGGCTGTCCTAGTTTTGAAGGTTCTCATTATCCATCCTACCATTTTCCTAGCAGATGAGGTAGATACATTATTGTGGTCTTTGAAGACGAGGTCCTCTGACATTATCACTCCCAGGTCCTTCACATTACTTTTCCACTCTATTGTATGGTTAGAATTTGTAGTATACCCTGACACATTTTTAATTTCCTCAAGTTCTCCATATCTGAGTAGTTGAAATTTCTCCTCGTTGAACTTCATATTGTTTTGAGTGGCCCATTCGAAGATTTGGTTGATGTCCGCTTGGAGTCTCGCGGTGTCTTCGATGGGGGTCACTGCCATGGTAATTTGGGTGTCATCCGCAAAGGAAGACACGAAGCTATGACTTACATCTCTGTCTATGTCAGAAATGAGGATAAGGAATAGAATGGGAGCGAGTACTGTGCCTTGTGGAACAGAGCTTTTTACTGTGGTTGCCTGGGACTTTACTCTGTTTACTATTACTCTTTGTGTTCTATTTGTCAGGAAGTTATAGATCCATCTACCAACTTTTCCTGTTATTCCTTTATCACGCATTTTGTTCGCTAGCACACCATGGTTACACTTGTTGAAAGGTTTTGCAAAGTCTGTGTATGCTACATTTGTATTTTGTTTTTCCTCTACAACATCCAGGACCTTTTCATAGTGGTCCAGTAGCTGGGACAGGCAGGAGCGACCTGCTCTAAACCCGTGTTGCCCTGGGTTGTGTAATTGATGGGTATCTAGGTGGTTGGCGATCTTGCTTCTTAGAGCCCTCAAAGATTTTTATGATGTGGGATGTTGTTGCTATCGGTCTGTAGTTCTTTGCAATTGCTTTACTGCCACCTTTGTGGAGTGGGGCTATGTTTGTTGTTTTTAGTGTGTGTGGGATGACCGCTGTGTCCATGTTCCCTCTCCGTAAAATGCTGAAGGCACGCAATAGGGGCTTCTTGCAGTTCTTGATGAACACAAAGTTCCATAAGTCTGGGCCTGGGGCAGAGTGCATGGGCATATCATTTATTGCCTCTTCAAAATCTTGTGGAGTTAGAATAATATCCGAGATTTTTGGGATGTCCAAATTCTGGGTTTCGTTCATAAAGAATTCATTTGGGTTGTCAACCCTTAGTATGGGCAGTGGCACGCTGAACACTGAGTCATATTGGGACTTTAGTATCTCACTCATTTCTTGGCTGTCATCTGTGTATGTCCCATCCCGCCTAAGCAGGGGCCCAATACTGGGTGTTGTTTTTC